CTCCAGCGGCGACTGGTTTCTCTAGGGTAGTGCGCTCGCGTTTCTCGGTACAATACCTAGGTATCATGCTTTCCACAAAAGAAGGCTTGGGGTCAATACGATACTTATCATACTTAACCGCAACACCATGCAGATGTCTCTAGATCTACAGCGGGTGAATCCCACGTGGCAAGCATGCTGGCGATCTGCAGCACAGTAACAAGGGACACCTCGAAACGCAACCCCCGAAAGAACTCACAAAAGCAGTCATTTCACATTGGCACAACTAGGTATGTACTGGAAGCTACTGAACAAGGCGCATACGCGATATTGACGTTCTTTGGTTGCTACGAGCCTATCGCAAGCATACCGCAGTTATCAGCCGTCGATCCGAGCGCGCGAGCGGGCTATTCTCCGCAGGTTCCACCGAGCCGTCACCTGTTGCCAGCCTTTCCTTTCGTGGAGCTGGTCATTCCTCCAGTGTTTGTACTCTGGAAATGCCCAATAAGTCTATCATCAGACCGTTCACCCATGGTGATGGGTGCGCTATCGCAGACGCTGACGCCGGGCGCGCGTACAATTTTCGAAAATGTTCCACTGATTATGTCGATACGAAGAGGAGATGTATGTTGCCCAGGAATACTGCAGTCTGACCTAGAATCATACTCGGCTACGTCAGGAGTGTCGTCCGTTGTGCGTGTGGATCAGAGATCATCTTCGAGGAGCACAATGACAAGCTTGACTATCTCGAGATATTGCCTGGGTACACCGCTCGAATATCTCATCTTCCAACGAGAAGAACCAGATCCTTGTACTGCAGTGATCACACGGGCGTCCTATCGATCCCTCTGCCTCTATCGGACCCGCATTCACACAAGACATAACGCTCCACCTTGCAGGTGATCACCGCCCCCACGAGGGTGCGCACGATTTGCAATGCCGCCGAACTGAACAACTGGATTTGGGGCGACTAACCGGTCTGGGAATTGGCTGTCAACAGGGGCTTTTTCGCATCATCTGAGAGTTTGGCCTTCACCTGGAGCCTGTGTCCGGATACCCAATTGTGGATATGGTTCTGAACGGAAGGCTCACCCTACAGCACTGGTACCAGGGATGACTGAGCACTAACATCAAATGGTAAGCTTTTTCTCAAATTCCTTTTGGTGTGTGGTCTCGGGACACGGTGACGATGGTGACATGGACTTCTAGCACACCAACACTCATCGCTTCTCCTTCATGGTTCGGGGGCACTGCGCGCATGATCTCGTATGCGTCAAATTGTGGTTTCGGGTAGCTTTCGGTGCTACGCAAACTCGGTGTCGCATCCCTCGATGTCGCATGCGCCACGGAAATCGGCAAATTAGCGACGCGCAAAAGCCACCTCGCGCGAGCCACACTTCCGCGCTTTCCGCACCGCCCCTGCTTTGGCCAATCATACGGCGGCCTGCGCCATAGAAGCCATGCTAAGCTCCAAAATTGCGGCGCCATTTTGATGAGACTTCTGCAGTGTGCTGGTGCGGCTAGTCCTGCATTGTGATGTAGAGCTGCTGATGACATGTGGCTAGGAGTGGCTTACGCACGCCGTGGGGAAGGGATTGGGCAGAGCATATATAGCGTGAAGCCCCCGTTGTGGCTGTGTGAAACGCACCACAATTACCATCGTCTACTACTCCTTTAGTCTAACGTTGTTGCGGTACGGGCCTAGCGCTATCCTGATCTACGAGACGAACGCCACCATGTCATTCGAGACCTACATACAGCGCGCAGACAACTACATCACCAAACAGATCCACAAGTTCGAGCAACAGAGACGCGGAACCAGATCGCCGCCGCGTGCAAATGGATATCACCCAATGCCGGCCCTCCACGGGCAAAAGCAAGGCCGGCCGCAATCTCAAGGTGGCTACCCCGGCAGCCCTGCTCCACCAGGCGGTGTACCTTCAGTGCCGCAGGGTTGGATACAAGAGTACGACACAAGGAGCCAACGCTGGTACTACATAGAGAAAGCCACGGGAAGAAGTCAATGGGAACCACCATCTTTCGCCCCGCCGCGCGCCGCTACATTCCAGCCTGACGTCCGCATGCCCAGTCCATACGAACGTTTCACCCGGGAAGACGAGCAAAGTCAGCGATGGCGCGAGCGATCCAGTTCTCAGCCACAACGGCCAGGATCTGGTGTAAGTGGCCATGGACAGTTCCTCGATCCGAGACAGAACGAAGGAAGTGGAGGCGGCAGTACAAGCCCAGGTGGCATGCATAACCAGTTGCCACCGGGATCACATTACGATATGAAGACGGGGAAGGTGGTCAGTAGTATGTTCCCGGAGGGTCAGACTCATCACAGCTGGCAACAGGAGATACAGAGGATATGATTTTGTTAGAGAGGATGCTGGAGAAGGAATCAGGGCGACATACATAGTGTCACCGACATGGAGTTTTTGCTTTACGGAAAGGAGATCTTCGACGAGTTGATGAGTCCTGGTGTTATTGATCTTTTATCGAATGTCTGTCGTATAGGCGACTGTGGTAGAACTATTACCGTTGTCACAACATTAGAAACTGCACTGCGCCTTCTTTAACTGAAATTTAGAGATCTCCGTATCCTAAATGATCTCGTATCCTCATGTTGTAGCTCATAGCCTGGTTACTTGCCGCGATTACCCTGTAAAGCTGCCGTCACTTCATCTCGTAGGATGTAGAAAGACCATTCAGCTGTAAGCAGGCCTCGAGTGAACCCGGGAGACTTTTTTGCACCCAAACTTTACATTTGTCTCTTTTTACGATGATGTAGGCTCCAGAGTGAAGGAATCTGTTAAGACATTCCCAACCATGTTCTTCTCCTTTGTACAGAATGCTGCCCATCAGACCGCCGTATCACAAACCAGTAAGCCAGAAGCAGACAATCAAAGCTTCCCACATCCACATTCGGCATCAGATCGACCCTGGAGGATACGTAGAGCGCTGCCAAGGTCTTGAGGAAGAGACAAGTTTGAGGCCGAAGACGTCGTCAACAGATGTATCCGAATCTGAGTCCGTTAACTGGGCTTCGAATGCGACGGCATTCCCGGCCAACTGGTCGGGAAGGTAGTGGTAAAGAGTGGCAGGCATCGTCGATAAGAGTCGGGCACTAGTATACACATATTGACATTACTGCCAGCCTTATTCCAACTGCAATAGGAAGGTCAGAGCATCAACGGCGACATGGAGGACTGACACTTTATCAGATCCTGCTAGGCAACAATCGGGATGGAGGGCCTGAGCTGATCCCGATCTGATAAGAGTCTAGGTCCGAACTCCGAGCGAACATTGTATATACTGTACGCAAAGCGCGTCACGGTTTATTGGATATATGCAATTCTAGCTGACGGTATTTATTAATATGTTCCATTCTAAAGACCCGGAGAAAGCTGTGGATGGGATTGTTGGTGGTCCGGCACCGGGCATACTCAAAACCGAGCATGGAGCCCGTGACGGGGAAGACCCGGAGATAACGTCTTGGACCACTGACAGTACTAACAACCGCCTGGTGCGTTTGAAGAATGAGTACGGAGTATGTTAATGTCCTACTTTTATCAATTCTTGCTAACAAATTAGTCAACATGGGCGTCACCCACAGACACCTCCGATCCTTACAACTGGCAAGCTTCACGCAAGATTACCATGGGAATTATATTCTCTTTCGGCCAGCTGATACCCATAATGTCTGCAAGCATGATTGCACCGTCGCTTCCTGCCATCGCTTCCGATCTCGCCATCAGCGCTTCTACCGCCCAAATAACCATGTCGGTATACTTCCTCGGCATGGGCATCGCGCCGTTCTTGATCGCAAGTGCCAGCGAGATATGGGGGAGGAAGCCAATCTGGCTGATATGTAACGCTTGGTACGTGGCCTGGAATACACTGTGTCCTGTGGGAAGGAACACTGGCTTGATGATCGTTGGGAGGTTTATGACCGGAGCTGGTGCGAGTGTGGGCGTAACGGTAAGTGATGAGACTGAATAACGCTGACATTACCATGACTAATTCTTCGCAGCTCAACGGGCCGGTCATGGCAGATATGTATGGTGAGAACGAACGCGGCAAATCCCTGGCCATGGTGACCCTACTTCCCTTCCTTGGCCCTGCTCTCGGACCAATCATCGGTGGTCTTGTTACCCATTCCATCCATTGGTCGTGGGTCTTTTGGATCATGAGCGCTTTCAACGCCGTCGTTCTGATCGTCGGGTTCTTCTTGATCCGCGAATCATACACACCAGTATTGCTCCGTCGCAAAGCCTTAGCCGAGGGTGGTAACGTCCTAACCACCAAAGCTGAGCGTGCTCGCATTGCGCAGAACCTCCTGCGTCCAATTCGCATCTTTATCACAAGACCTATCACCTGGCTCATCTCACTGACCGCGACCCTGTCTTTCGCCGTCTATACACTCATGCTCGCTACTTATGCGTCGCTGTGGATCGACAAATACGGTCAATCTGAACTCGTCGGCAGCTTGCATTATCTCTCGGTTGCAATAGGCTCGACCCTATGTGGTCATCTGGGCGGCCGCATCATGGACTGGTCGTATCGAAAACAAGCTAAACAGGCTGGTGAACAAGGCGTTCCTGAGTTCCGCATCCCCTACATGGTTCCTGGAATGATCATTATGCCAGCCGGTCTCTTCTGGTATGGATGGTCTGCCGAGCGCACGCTCCACTGGGTGATGGTCGATTTAGGTGTTGTCATCTTCACGCTGGGTAGCTTTATCGTGAACCAAGCAAGCATCGCATATCAGATCGAGGAATTCGGCCAATTTGCAGCTTCCTCAGGTGCAGCTATCCGCTCGGTTTCGTATGGTCTCGCATTCGTCTTCCCGATTTTTGCACCCGACATGTACAGAAGTCTGGGATACGGCTGGGGCAACAGTACATTAGGTTTCGTCCCGATTGGCTTGGGATTACCAGCGTGTGCAGTCCTGTGGTTTTGGGGCGGTAGGATAAGAGCTGTCGGCAAGTCAAGCTGACCACAGCGACCGACTACAAATATTAATGGAGCATGGGAGTGTAACCGAGGTTGTTGAAAAGCGGCTGCTTTGAACGAGATCTGAGCTGTAAGATACTTAGGTAGAATTGGAGAGAATAGATGATCAAAAAAGAGCGCGTCGCAAGGTCCGCTAGCTATGACGTCATTGCCGCATGGGTCTACGCCGCGAGAGAGCAACTTCGAAATCTCGCCTAGGAGCAAGCCTTCAGCCGCACCATCTTCGAGCTCCCCAACATCGATCTTGACAACCGCATCCTTTCCGCAACCCGCTTCCGCGCATGCGGTGTACACAGCCGCCAGTCTGGCGAAGACGATGAGCTTGAAAATATCGTCGCCCTCGATGGCTGCTCCACCCTCGCCCGGCTCGGGGGTCTCAAGCCACAGTTGTTTAACGTCCTCACGCGCGCGTCGCTCCCAGCTGTCCAATTCGTGATCATGTCGAATGGTTTCCACATCGATCTCGGAAGCAGGCGTCTCGCCATCAAAATCGTCTCCACGATCTAGCTGGAGAGAGCTTGACTTAAGTACTAGAGAGATCACGCCGTTGAGTTCGCCCGTCAACGTGCGGTATACGAACGGGTTGGCCGCGGAATGTAACAGGAAATGAGAAGCGAAAAAATTCGGATCGTCGCAGGGCGCGAGCTTGATCAGCGACAGCTGGGACTGGATATCCGTGTGGTCATTGAGGCACGGCGTCCCCGTGAGTGGCAGGCGCAGCAACGCTCGAAGGCGATTCACAGCCTTGTTGATACCAGTCTTGTCGTTTGCAATCTTATGTGCCTCGTCCAAGATTTGGCCCCTCCAGTATACGACCATGGTGGGGAAACGTGCGAGAACCGGTGTCTTGAAGAAGTCTTCGTGCGACGCTGCAGCGGCCATGGCATCTTCGTAATCTGACCGTAACATCTCATAGGATGTTATTACCACATCGACTGCGGCAAGCTCGTCTGCAGTATGCGCAGTGGAGTGGTGCCACGACTGGTGTCCATGGTATACAATGACACTTGGAGGGTTTTCCAAGTGCACCTGGAGCTCGTTCTCCCATTGGGGAATGAGATCGACTGGAACAACGATCAGGAATCCTCCCTGTATGCTCATCCTGGGGTCGAACTCATGCGCATCATGCCCTTCGTCCAAAGTTGTCTTGTCAAGCAAAGGCCAATCAAGCCCATGCATGGCGAAATCTCGCTTCAAGACGGCGTACAATCCTACGGCTACCAGCGTCTTGCCGATACCCATGCCGTATGCCACAATGGTTCCATGATGGCCTGCCTGCAATCTCTCGAGGGCCCTATGGATAGCATGGCGTTGATGTGGGTCGAGAACGATGGGCTCTTTCGCATTGGTAAGCTCCGATGGTGTTGCAAAATCCGACCCCGACTCCGTTGTGTGATCATCTGATTCAACCCGGATCCCTTCCTATGTCAGACTCCACAGCAAGTCATACTGACTTTCCAGAAGTGCGGGACTAACGTCCTTTGCCTCCTACGTCTTCTTGTTCTTGTTTTTTCGCTTCCTCTTCGAAGGCTTCTGTTCGTCATCTTCTTGAGGGGCGATGTATTCCTCAACCTTCTTTCTCCTCCACGTTGGGTTAGACCCTCCAGTCTCATGGACCATGTCCAGGAGTCTGTTTCGGGCATTAGAGGGTGGTCGGGCGGCGTCATCGAAGTCTTGGAAAGGTCGCACCCTGAGCGGGTTCCGCCGCTTAAAGTCTGGCGGAAGCATGGCGATGGGTGTGCAGTGAGCTTGAGTGGTTGCGCCGTTCCGATGTAGAATTGAAGCGACACTAGGAGTTCAAGGTTTGTTTGTAGTAGAAATGCGCGCAAGTTCGCGTACAAGAGCGATAATACCTTGGGCAGGGCGACGGGGCACCTTGGAACCAATCCGCCAGATACGACGGCTCCTTGGGTACGCTACCAGGAAAGCTTCGCAGGGTAATAGATGCGCATTACCTTGAGCATATTCAGCGTTAACCAACACTGAATACTCCCCGGGCAGGTTATGTGGCGACACCCGCATGCGATTCCAGCCTGTATCTTCTCCAGTCTGTGATGATGACTGCTTGTGACCTTGGCCGGGCCCTATGTATCCTTCAGAGTTGTTGATAATGTAGAGGGCGGTTGTGGAAGCTTGGATTGACTGCTTCCGGCGATCAAACTGGGTAACCTCAAAGGATTAACAGATGCACGAATACTCCAAGCATTAGTAAGAGTGCTGAATACATGCTGCCCATGCTTCGCTGTAGTCGATACGGATGCGCTTGACTTGATGCGCCAAAGGTCCGGGCAGTTGTCGACGTAGTCGGTGGGTTGACTGCCAGCGACGCATGGGGGCAAGGCCGGGTTGCGGTGGCAGCTTATTCTCAATCTGCTTCAGTCACTCGGGTTCCGCCAGCATGTCCTTGATAATGGTTCCTTGAAACATGTTGCTCGGAACGGTACACTTCGCACGGAAGCGGTACTGTAGATCTCGCGGGTAAGTGTTGAGCTGCTTGCCGCGCCGAGGTCGATGATGACCGGCAACGTCTTGTGGCGAAAATGCTTCAGGAAGTAGGCTTTTAGGACGTTGTAAAGGAACGTGCGATTCTTGTCATCGACGTCGCCATTCTCGTAGTGATGCTCTGCTTGGAGGCAGAGGATGAACTCGAACACTTGCCTGATGGGAGGTACATGCGACCCCTCACAGTCCGCGTTGGTGCAGTGGTTTGTCTGGTCGAGAATGGCGGTGAAACAGTGAATGGTGTTGATGGCTTTGCCATCACAGCCGAACTTTGAAGGATTCAGGAGCGGCCCTAGAGTCATCTTACCCAGGGTCTGTCTCATTGAGACTGGAATCTCAGGGTAAATTATGTCGCGCGGCTTCACGGGGTTCAGCTTTTTGTATGGAATTTGCGGGTCGCGAGAGGGCCATGACACAAAAGATGTTCTGACGTGATCTCGATACAGGCTCTTGGAGTATACATACCGTAATCTATAGAGTATTCTTAAAGAGGTGGAGAGGCAGGAAGAATACTTACAGCGCGTCTGAACCTGCATAGCTTTGTTTGAGAAATATGTAGCCTTCTCAGGTGGCCCAGTCGTCGTTTTCAGTTAGTGGGGGAAGACATGTCTTCCTCGCGCACTCATTCTCAAGCCGTCACGGAGTCCTTTTGACCCTAATGTCGATACCACGCACCGCTAGAATCCCACATGCAGGTTTAGTCTCTCGGTCGTAGTCTTCGCGGCTCATTTATTACTGCTTTACATCGAAGTCGGCGTCTTTCCAAGCTCCCACCATCGGATATTGTTTGGTTTTGATGATCTCGTCGTAGCTAGAGCCGCGTCGTGAGATATTGGCTACCCACACGAGTATGGCGGCGACGTCCTCAACCTTCTGGGCTTGCAGCTGGTCCATGATATCCTTAAGCTGTCGTTCAGTGAGTTTCGGGAATTGGTAGTTTAGTCGGTATGCGAAATCCGACAACTCAGAATTGAATGCCGGGTTCTAGTTATCCTGCTCGATGGTTTTGGGTGTTTCCTTGGTTGGCTGCGGAGGAAGAGAGGATGTCTCGTTCGTGAATCTTTTTCTTAGCTGCCGCGGTCCTCTCCTTCTAAGCATCAGCTGCCTTCTTAGCCGCCTTCTCGTCTTGAGCGGGCTTGGCCTTGGCGGTGGTCTCGGGGGTAGCCTCCTTCTTAGCCGCCTTCTTGTCTTGAGCGGTCTTGGGCTTGGAATTGGGCTTTGCGGTTGAGGGTTTCTTCGAAGCGGGCTTGCCTTTGGAGGCCGCGTCGTCGTCGGAGCTCTCCTCCTCTTCGGTCTCGTCGATGCCGTCACTTGTATCGTCTTCGTCCGTGGACGGATCTTTCTCCGTCTTGTCATCGCCATGATCTACAACAGGAGCGGGGTCTTCGGTGGGCTTGATGTCGTCGGAGATGTATTGCTATTCGCACAATGTCAACGGTATTCATTTTGTTTGTAACGGATATACATACTTCATTGAAATCGCCGTCACCTTCCAACTCCTCGCCGTTGGAGACGTCCCTGATCGCATCTGCAGTGTCTGTGGTGTCCGGCATCTACACATCTTGTGGCCATGCTGTTATTGTATCAGACTTTCGTGCTGACCATGAGCTACCTCGAAGCTGTCACAGTTGTTTCACGTGACAAAGCACGACTTCAACAACCAGCGTGAAGCAGAAACAGGGCCCTATTCTGAATCGACGACGCATTCTCTTCTTCGTGTATGCCCCAGGCTATACCTTTGTCGCCTACGCAACTCATGAAAAGGCCAGGCGGAAGCCCACGATAACCGCTCTAACTGCTGAGCGCATCACGACGAAGCAGTAAGATAAAAATGACGCGTCATCATCAAATGCAAACCCCCAAGCCTACCCAATCGCGACCCATCGCACTCAGCATTCCACACCACCTTCTGCGACCGCGCCAGAACCTCGCCCTACCTCCCGTCAACACCTTTTGCACTGCACCCCGCCCTGTAGCCATCTGCAACTAGGCATCGTGCATCGATCCCACGACACTCATCGCACATGATATTCGTCCGGTACTGGTACCGAAGCGTGGCTTCGCACGCTAAGCCCGCCAACTTCGGGAACTCCGACGATCCCCTAGGCCGCAATCAGGCCAAGTGCGCGGGAACATGGCGTAAGCGAGCTGCCCTGGGATGTAAACCTGGTCTATCAAGGCGATGCCGAATGCATGGAACGGGGAATGGTGGATTTGATGCTGGGCGATGCAGATTGCGCCCGATGTTGTGTGATGATGGCCGCGTTGTGCGATCGATGGAAAGTTTCCAGTTGCTCATTTTGCGCTATGGGGTCGTGCTTTGGGAAAGTTGCGTTGCATTGTGATTCATGAGGCAGCACACTGGCACATGCCCATGCTACTTTTAGAGCGTTTGTTACTCCTCACTCAGCCCTGCCTAGTGTATGACGTCCATAGGATTGGAGCCACGCTAAGACGTCTGCCTTACGAACAACCGTTTGGTAAAAGCCCTGTTGCATTGCATCCACGTGCATAATCGGTCGGCTCCGCAGTGTGGGATTCGACGGTGCGAGTTCAATGTGGCCATGTGCCTGTCAAGCTGAGAGCTAGTGCACAACGCTAAAGACAGTTGGTTCAAGGTATCCATGTCGCTCCAGGTTCCACATTCGTTCTTGACGAGGAGTTGGTTACTAACAGGCTTGTGTGCGTTTTCGTGTTCATGAGAGAGATGATGTTGACGTGCTTGAAGTACCAATAGTGACTATAGTTATTGACATGAAAAGAAGAAAACAAGACGAAAGAAAGGAAACAACTCAAGAAGGAACTAGGACATGGGAGTACAGCCTAAAAGCCGAAATTGACAAAAAAAGCGAGAAGAAGAATGGAGGAAACGCCCTAACAACTGTCTTTCGATCAACTTTACCCGAATATTCCTATGCTTTTGCCATGCTTTGCCATCACTTCGCATGCATATCTGCCGACCCGTCGCTTATGCCTTCCAAAGGAGCGGAACATGTCCCACGCACCAAAATGATTCAAGACGCCAACGCCAACGCTAAAGTAGGTTATCGTCCAGGGCTACCCCAAAGAAACAAAGTGTGTGTGCTTTCCAAACAGTGTGACCAGCACTAGAATTATAGTATTCGAAAAGCGTGAATATGGGATGAGGGTGTATAGGAATGTCCTGGCACTAGAGGCTTGCCGAAGGAGACGTGTGCGGGGAAACGATGAAGAGAAGAGGGTTGGATCCGCTGCGATATGATGTAGATATGGGCGTCTTCGTAAACCGTTCGTGATAGCCCCAGTCTAATGTAGAGTTCTGGGCAGTGTTGTTGGTATCGTGAATGCTTATCGTCGAGACATGAGTATTTGTTGGATCTGTGCCAGCGAAGGGTCTTCATTCAGCCACTTCCCCTGCGAGGCGTCTGCGGCGCGCAGCGTATTTTCGACATAGGCATCGCTGATTGCGAGGAGTTCCTGTAGTCCAATAGTCAGTTTAGATCTTAGTGAGCTAGCATGCAATGTCTCTAGCCTGGTGCTTCTTGTCGCATTTGAATCCCTCTCCTCCAGTCTCAAAGTGAAATAGGGGTGTGTCGCATGCTACGTACATTTCTCATCGTGGCATCGGCCTGCTGGAGTAGGCCCAAATGGCTCGCATTGGGCCTCTGGCCACGCAGGATACTATTACGGCTGTTCATCCACCGCAGGCCAGCGTGGGCTCGTAAGTAAGCGCGTTGGCATTGGAAGCGTCGCACAGCGGCGTCTGTAATAATGCTGCAACTTGTCAGACCCTTCTTCCGTGCTAAAACCTACAGTCCCTCATGATCGACGCACGCAGGAGGAAGTGACCTACTTTCTCAGTTGCTGCTTCTCTGCCTCTGGATCCCCTGAACCCGTGCTGGCACTGCCAGAGAAGGGTGTCTGCAGGATAGCTTGTGCCTCGCTGGTGCACTGTCGAAGTAGAGAGTAACCCTCAAGGTAATACTCCTCCGCTGTGGGTGTGGCGCGTAATTGGACAAGGTAATGTTGTAGGTTACGAAAGTCGGTCATGATCTCCGCAATGCGCATAGCACGGGCATCGTTGACTATGTTTATGTTAGCCTATGCGGTTTGGAGAGCCGTATGAAATGAGGATGTGGGAAGGATGAAAAGATTTCGCTGGAGTAGGGAGAGCCTTACGACCGTCAGACATGGTGGCTTAGGTGTTTTGAAATGAAGATCGACTGGCGACAGATTGATGAACTGGCTAATAGGAAGTAAGTCTTGGATGGTAGAAGAGAACTAGGCTTGCTGGTGTGAAGACAGTCAATTGAGGCGGCGTGGCGAGTGTTAAATAGCATGTAGGAGACATGTATTCACGATGATGATGGTAGTGGTAGTGTCCATGAGCAAGGCTCTCGATAGCGTAGTGTAGGAACAGCCATACCTGCAGGGCTGCTCCCGCCGCTACCATAAGGACGTCCCACTTTGGGACCGTGAGTAGCTCCCAGCTGTACTAGGGCCCTGGCTCGATGGACCACTCAGGACCTTGCATTCGGCAGCTCGAGGCTTGTGAGGAGGTGTGAGAATCGGCATAGTAGCATCACCGTCAGTACCAGTCTCCACTACAACGGGATAGCCAAACATGCAGGAACCGTGCGTCTGCATCTAACCATGGCTATTTTTCGATGCTCCGCTACGTTTGCTCTCCAGCTGGAATGAGCAGCGTTGTGCTGGACCTGTTCAGCAGCCCTAAAAGCGCCACATCGAGCAAAGTAGTTTAGCGAGCCAGCCCTGGTAGGCTGCATCGGGTAAGGCATCAAGGCCAAGCTGTGTATCTCAGCCGCAGCATCCACTTTGATTGGACGATGCTTATAATTAGTGGTGCGGTCTTCGCGTGGTTGTCCGCTGAGTATGAACCTGGAAGTGCGTGCCGGCGTAGGGTTGAACCTGCGTGCAAAGTCGAACAACGCTCGCGAAAGCCACGGTCAGCCACGGTCAGCCACGCGACAGCTGTGCTGGGCACTCCGACGACTAGGAGCCAGTCGCATGACGTCGATGGGGCAGTTCGCGAGTTGTTGCAGACCGTTGCAGCTGAGGTAGTATGGGAATCTGGTGTCATGGGCGACACCAAGTGGAGTCATGGCTGAACTCACCACATGTTTCTTGTCCCAGGACCGGCCGCTTTCGTCACAGTTGCGCTTATGCAGGAGAGTACAGTCTAACGTCTTCATTCATGGTGCTGCTGGAGCACTTTTGACGTCTGAGAGGTCGTATCATGCTATCTGTTGTTATCGTCATGGTTCGTCTCAGTCATACCTCAGCGACCCACATGCCGTTCCAGCTCCACGGCCATTGCTCCTTCCTTAGTCCTTGTCTGCGATTGACTGCAGTCGTTCATCGATTTCCTCTTCGGTGAGCGCCCTGAAGGCGGAGTCTGTGCCCTCCTGGCCGTTGGTCTTGGGTCCTCCTACGATGCCAATCTCCAATTCGTTCTTCTTGAAGTCGACCGACAGGACGGTGCTCAAGGCGGTGATGGCCAGCTCGACAACCTCCTCCCAGTTGCCCTCGGCGTGCTCCTTGTTCTTCAGCTTCTTCTCGAGGAAGTTGAGCGCCTCTTGCGTCTTGGGTCCGGAGGCTGTTGCCTTGTAGCCTACGTAGTAGCCAGCTGGATCGCACTTGTAGAGTTGGGGGCCGAATTCAGAGTCGAGGGAGATGAGGGTCGTGGCCACACCGAGCGGTCGCATATAAGCCTGCACGTTGCTTAGCATCCAGTCGCGCCTTCTTCACGCATTGCCACTTACACGCTGTGTGTAGACCTGGCTGATGTTGGCTATCCTCTTTGCCAGTACGTCGCAGGGCATCTCGTAGCCGTACTTGTAGCGGAACTCGGCAGCCTCGCCCCGCGCTCTGCTCACGGAGGCTCTCGCATCGGCGATGGATCCGGTCATGACACAGCCGACCGAGGGCGACAGGCGGAAGATGTGGGATACGGAGGAGGGGTCGATCAGCTTGTCCTGTGCATATACGTCAGTACCTCGTGCGGCCCGTCGTGCTTGCCATACGTACAGGCACCTTCTTCTGCGAGATGACTACTGCGCAGTCCTTGCCCCGCACGCCCAATGATGTGATGTTTGCTGCCGTAATCGCCTTGAATGCATACTCTGGGGATCGTGTTAGTCGTGGCTCCTCCAGAAGTCGCGGGGTCTGTCATTGCTGGGATGCGTACCGACTTGGTATAGACGACCTTGGTCCGAGAAGATGGTAATGTGTCTGTCGTAGCCTGCGCTTCCTGCATGACGAGGGTACTTGTTAGCATGTATGCGGCAAACACCAGGTTATAGCTTCGACGCACCAGACATGATGGGCGGTGGTGGATCTGTGTATTTGTAATTGGCGGCTTCAGCTGCAGCAACGGGTTCCGGAGATTTGCGTAAGCTCGGTGGGCGCGGTCGGGGGGTTGAAGGCGAGGTTGTCGGCGTTGGCTGTCACTACACGCGTTGCTTGTGGCCTGGAGCTCTGGGATCGCCGTCACTTGGTCTGTGCCTTCCTAGATCAGCCCCGAAATTCTCTGCCTGCGACCTCTCATTCGGCCTTTCCCTCCTGACAGGACGCTCTACTCCAGCTGATTCGGTCATGCGCGATGCGATTTAACTCCATCATCTAGATATCCATATTCCGCATCTGATCATGGCTAACGTGTTTGAACCGGGCTACATCCCGGCTTGGAGACGGCTAGGGATCAAACTGAGGCACGAAGTAGAAGCCGAGTCCGGACACGCCGTACCTGAACAAAAAACACCAACAACTACAGACGATCGTGCGCAATCTTTGCCATCCCAGAAGGGTGCCGTAAATGGCAAATCCTCAAAGCTTGGCAAACGGAAACACCAACATGAGGCAGCTGAGGATCATCAACAGGATGCCAAGAAGAGTCGGGTTGAGACCACGGAAAGCGACGTCAACGGAGCTACTAGTCACGAATTTCCAGTCGTGACTTTTGATGTCGAGCCAGAAGCTCCCACGGAACAGACTCCAGCAACAAACAAGCCCTTCAAAGGAGGAGATCCGAATTATCGAAAGAAGAAAGAGAAGCCAGCCAAACCCCGGAGAGAAGAAAAAGAGGGTGGTTCTCAGCCCAAGGCGCGTCCCAAGCAAGGCTCCACTCACCCTACTCACGAGCCAGCGTACGCGACAGCGCGTCCAACTTTACTTGCCTCCACTGAGTTGGACCACGCCAACCCAGCCGCCGCCACAACACCACAAAGGCTCCCCAAGAAATCTAGCCGCAAGGAGCCCTCTGACTCACCCCCATTGACAGACCGGAGAAAATCAGTCGCATTCACCCCCGATACCAAACGGTCCGACGGGAATACGGGCCAGGATTATTTCAAAGCCTGGGTTGCCGAACAGAAGGGAACTGGACCCGTCTCCCAGCCACCAGAAGTCTCCAACTTCGTACTCCATTCAATCATTGCTGAGGAGCAGAAGGCGGCGAGGAGGAACGGACAACTAGACAAGAAACCAGCGACAGAAGCAGAACCCAAAGACGCCACCAGTTCCAAGACCCCAGACGCTGAACCGGAAGAGAAGTCGAAACCGCAGCCGAAGCCGACACCACAAGCAGCACCGAATCCTACGTCGAAGCCTGCCGAGGCTAAATCTACACCTGCATCTGCAGCTGCGCCAAAGGGAAAGAAGAAGGATCCTTCGGTGTACATTGCCTATCTCAGGCAGTACCACTACGATCGCGACAACTGGAAGTTCAACAAGGCGAAACAAAACGACGTTGTTGATAACGCCCTAAACATCTTTCGCATCCCTAACGAGCATTCCGAGGCCCTAGTTGAATACATCGCTGGTCTCCAAGGAGCTGGTGTGATCGCACGTCTGCGCGAACGTTGCAGGGCAACAGTGAAAGACATCGACGAGCAAGACGCCCAGATGAATGACGCGGAAGCCAAGAAGGTCGCGCGGGAGGACGCAGAACAGGAGCGCATCCTCAAGGAGCGGAAGAGGAGAAAGACAGAAGGCGACATCACAGACCTTGGTGAACACGAGTACAGTGCTGGGTTCATTCGACGTCTGCAAAGGCGACGAGCTGAGGCGCTCCTGAATGCTTTGGGTCGCGCTGAGCCCGTACTACCAGCAGTGACTCCAAGATCGAGCATCAACCCGTTGATGGAGCATGTGGAGCCAGCGAAGCCGGTTGCACGCAAGCGGAAGCGCAGGACAGAAGTATCGAGCGATGAGAGCAGTTCAGACAGCAGCGACTCGGACAGTTCAGACTCCGACTCAGGTGACAGCAGCGACTCAGACTCAGGATCTGACAATGCGACTTCTGCGAAGAGCGCCAGCAGCTCGAGCAGCGAATCAGGAAGCAGCGACAGTGACAGCGGCAGCGATAGCGACAGTGATAGCGATAGCGATTAGAATGGCGATTAGGAGTCGGAAATAGGAGCAATGGATGGAGTTTACAAGGCATTACTAGTCCTGTTCTTCTCGTCTTTGCAGTGGATACCTGCAGGTCTGAAAAAGCTTCCTTTACTGCCACAACTGTACATATCAAAACGGTCGCAAGGAAGCATTTTTGTGGAAAGTCAATACTAGTAGTACTCGGCAAAACAAAATACAAGACGAATGAGATCAAGCATGCGCAGTACATTGTGCCTTCCCGAGTAATGTATGTACGATACCCGAAACAGCTAGTGCATCGTCAACATGCAGCGGGTTCCCCGCCTCTTTGTCTCCACAGACGTTTGGTGATTGCCTCATCCATCTTATCAACATCCGTTCCATAGATCATCGTCGGAAGTAGCACTGAGAGCGATGGCATTGTCACGCCTGCCCACCGAATTAATCGAGCACATAACCACGTACCTCGATCTCCCATCCAGTCGTTCACTCCGCCTCACCAGTCCATCTCTGAGCAAACAAACCTTCCATGTATTCAAAGATCGTTTCTTCCGCCAACACACCCTACAATGGACTGAGGCCGCCTTTTCTAGATTACTAGAAATAACATCGCATCCGCATTTCGGCAACGCCATCCAGCACCTCATCGTAGACGCCACACCTCGCCACTCAATCCACCTTTGGCAAGCACAAATACGGATCGCAGAAAAACAAGGTATTGCTACGCCATACGGTACCGCATCAGCTACCCGCGATCTCGAAATCCAATATATCGCCGATTACACAGTGTCAGAGGAAGTAGCCAAGTTCTTCAGCGAAACGAGATTCGATCGCAAGAGCCTGGTGACTATTTTCGAGAGACTTGAGCAACTGGATTCTATCACATTTGCATACGATGGCATGCACGAGAAATACGCAAAGTTCTGTACTCGGTATTGCAAGAGCAGCCAGCAGGAAATGTCGCGGCCATTCGTCTCGACAATGTCTGCGATCGCGGAATCGAAATTGCAAGTCCGACGTATTCAGGTAGACAGCGACAGATCCTTCGGCGCAGTCAGCATCGGAAAGCTGGAAACTCTGGCCCCTTCGCTCCGTCATTTCGACTACGCCTTTGAGAAGCTGGATACGTTACAACTGCATCTTCGCGATCTGCGCTCTTCGGTCTCTGGCTTCGAGATAGACACCATCCGCGCGCCATTCGTGGTACGCTTCCTAGCCAAGGCACGGAATGTACGAAGACTTGAACTGAGCTGCTACAGCATCTTGGAAATGGATGTATTTGGGGAAATGGCACGGCATTGTCACTTCGAAAAGTTGGAACAGTGTAAATTGTCCGTCATGAGGATCATGAATGGCGATGACCTGCTCACGCTCTTGAAGCCGGCAGAGAACACACTGAGATCGCTGAGTCTGAGGTACATCATGAATTCGGATCCCTACAACACATGGTGGCATATTCTGAGCCGTGTTGCTAAAGAGGAGGATGTGTTGCCGCGGGTAGATCATCTACATTTAGGGTGTTTGATTTCAGATTCTAGGCGCAGGGTGTGGATGAATGAACTGCAGGTGCAGAGCTTTACTGGGGATGATTGGCGAGAGCGTCTTTCTGATGCTCTTGGTCAGTACAAGACAAAAGCAGCAGATTCGTCATGGAGTCTGGGCGCTCTTGCATATCCGTTTGTTGGGTTGAGCGTGTGAGATGCAGCTATGGAGGAAGTTACGCCATGAAGTATATGACCACGTCGGCGCTACTAAACATCTTTCAGGGTGTATGCGTTTCTTAGATAGCGTACGTAGCAGTACTTTGCCATGTACAAACAGCGTCAGAGTGCTCAACCCACACTTTAAATCATTCGCGCCGCTTATTCCCGGCCACGATAGTCCATCCACGGGGTCTATTGTTGACACTGAAACACAAGCCTCGCTGCTAGATGGTGAAGATACATCACGCCGTTGGACAATGAAACAATAGACAGAGATGACATCGTGCCCGATGCTCACAGGGCAACAGAAGAACAGTGGCAATGATGACCGCCTGAGGGGTCACTTCTCTCGGACAGCGAGAGGACGTGATAGTCTTTGACCATGGGTAGATAGCCGTTTCATGTGTACCCGGTGGCGGACCGCCTCGTCCGTCATCACGGGTAGGTCAGATCGGAAGTCCGTTGAGCTCAGGACCCTGTGAAGCATGGAGTAGTCCGAAAAGTAACTTCTGCGACACTGCAAGATGTCACCCGAGGGTGAAGATGGGGCCGAGGTTATGCGGCTGTTGGATAGTGAAGTAAGACAAAAAGAACTTCCACTATACTGCGAAGTCATCAACGAGAAGAGGATACAGCCGAGGAGATATGTTCACTAGCGACGTTGAACGGCGCGAGCTCTGATGAGGGGTTGAGAGATGTTATAGTAATTGCTTCTTGCGAACAGTTATTACTCGACACCTATATCAGAGTTTGGCAAATCTCGGGTGTCAGCAACGGCAAACCTGCCAGTGAGCGCGCAGTGTCACCAAGCCACGGTCTCGACTTTTCGATCAGCAGCGGGAGATAATCAGCGATGGGTAGCGCAAGGGAGACCCCATAATACACCCATCGCGATAACAGCGGATGGTGGTACAAAAGTTTCACAGGCCCTGTTGTGAGTGGCTGGGTTGGGGAAATGAAAGGGCGGATGCGGGTTAACCCCACAGAAAAGGGTAAATATGGTCGGCCGTGGTTCGTCGTGTTTCGCATGCAGGTTAGTAGGGCAGCCAGTGTGCCTGGCACATCAGGCGGGCAGCAGTCGTGCTGGTGCGGCTGTGTTGGACCTGACAGGTGCTCGACCAGAGAAGTGTTGCAGGTGGGTGGAGCTTGGCTGAGATGTTTCTGGGAGAGGAAACGGATACATGTAGCCTGAGGCTTGAAGTGGCTTGCGCGGAGTTGGAGGTGTCGCCGTGAATGGGTAAGCAGTTGGGAGTAGTATCCAGTAGTATGGATGGGTGAAGGAGGCTGCACGTGGTGGGAGATAAGGTGGATGCTCGATATATTGGCCGCTGCGGAGAGATGAATCTAGACGCGCAATTGACTATTTACCCAAGAGCGAAGGGCCAATGACGGTGCGGGAGGCTCTGCTAGCGGCTGGGATCCCGTACCTGAGGTCAGCAAAGTCCCGGTCAGCGCCGGCAGCGGGTGGGTGCAAATCTGTGCAACGGCGTGCGGGACCAGATGAAAGAAAGCGATGAGCGGAATGTGAATAGATGAGGTCGATCGAGGCCGTGATAAGGGCGCTGGTGGTGAGGCAGCTGGAGGCGTTCGGTCGCCCGGTTAAGGCTGCAATAAATAGATTAAGGTTATGCACACGAGAGCCGCTTGGCCCAGAACGGCCGTGGCTTGGGTCCCCAGTCAGGTGCTTCAAAGAGCGCAGCAACATTGTCTCCCCCTCCGCAACGGCCAGGACGAGTGCACGACGATCGCAGCTCTGAGGCAACGACAAAAAACAAGAGCGTTTCGGACATTTTCGCGTGCCCATCGACATTGTCGCCCGTCGGCACACCTCACCCTCAGGCCCCAGCTTGCAGGGACGAAACACGCGCGGCCATTTCAGCGAGCCAGGCCCGGGCCCACCCCAGCCGGTGCCCCAACACCCAAGAGCCACGCTCACGCCCATCTGACCACGCTACTGCGCCCTCGTCCTCAGGTTCCTCACCACCTTTGCGCCGCATCACCGCTTTTGCTTCTTTGTTGCGTCGCCTTTGTCCCCAGTCACTCGTTACCACCCTTCGCGCCGCCGTCCTTGACTTCGCCCCGCCACCCTTCGCACCTTCCCATTCTCCGTAGCGCCGCCTATTCTCGCCTGCTTTCTTTGTCCCCGTCGCCAGGCACCTCGAACCGCTCAAAACCGTCGCACCGTGCTATTTCCGCCGTACGACACCTTCACCATCCGCGTCGCACACCACCGGGTGCGCCCATAGCTGACAGCTGGCCCTCGTTGCTTCTTCACCTGGGGTTGCTGATCCCCTAACCACCCCATCCACCGTTGCCATGTCTATCCGTGCGCTCAGAGGTACGATCTGCGACCCTGCAGCGACGAGACTGCATATGACAGCCCACTAACACGATGCCAGACGCTGAGAATGTCTTCCGGATAGAAAAGCGATGCGTCGCATGTGAGACGGCTGCACTGTCCTGCGAGGGCATCAAATGCAGAGCCAACGAGGTCTGCGTCCAGAACTCACGAACATGCGACCAGTGCGCCTCTGTCGGCTGCCAGCCCGACCCCACGGCAGGCGATGCTCCTGCTAGCAAGCCAAACGTCGGTGCCATTGCCGGAGGAGTTATCGGAGGAATCGCCTTCATCGCCATTCTCACATTCATCGTATGGAAGTACTGCCTAAAGGGAAAGAGGCGGCCCATGTCCCAGCGGAGCGAGTGGCAGGATGTCGACATGACGGCGCAAGAGAAGGCCGAGAACGACTTCCAGTCACGGCGGAGCGCGCGCGCATCCACACACACCGTCGCCTCGATGGCCTCGTCCGTCCTCACCCGCGCCTCCAACATCATCCAGATCGCCTACATCCCCGGCGTCACGAACCGCTCAGGCCCCGGGTCGCCCGACCTGCTCGTCCCTCCCGTGCCTCCGATTCCTGCCATGTCGCCTTCGTCTGGCATGAGCACCCCGTACTCGACCGCCGACCAGCACTTCTTCGTTCCCGACTTCCGCGACTCCATGATGTCTTCCAGCACCGCCGGCCGCACAAGCATCGCTCCAAGTCTCGCCCAACGAGGCAGCGTTGCATCGACCATGTACCGACAAAACGCCATCGTCTCTCCACTGCCAGCCCAAACCATCGTACGCGGAAAGGCAGCTGTCGTCAGCGTCAAGTCGACTGCGACCAACAGCCCGGCAGAGACACCCAGCATGGAGACACCACCTGTACCTTCAATCGACCCCAAGCACACCGTCAAGCCCATCCGCATTCACATGCCTGGCATCAGCCCCGCAAACTCCGTCCGAAGCACCGCACAACTAGGCCCTGTCCGCGCCCTCAACATTACCAAGAAGAGGAGTGGGAGCTCAGACATGACACCACCCAAGAGCTCGTCCAACTCGACAACAAGCGCAGACCGAACGCTCGTCAACACACCCGAAGTCCTCGTACCCTCTGCGCGCCCACTCACCGGCTACTCAACCACCTCATCAGATGACGGTGTTGCCCACTCGCGTGCACGAAGAGGAAGCTTAGCATCCGACTCTGGAGACGAATCCGACGATGACCACGTTCGCGCACGACAAACACTACTTCGTAGCAACTCGGGCAGCGACCGCGGCTCACCATACCCTGATTCCCGGGACAGCACGCCGACCATGGACCGAAGTCCTTTCGCTGACAGCTCGTCGCTCGAACCACCGCGACCCATCATGTCTTCACGCATCACATCATACGACACCTCGCTCGGCCTCCGCACACCGATGACGCCTATTGTAGAGGAGTCATCAGCGTCAAAACGCGGCAGCACCGTCTCCAACAGAAGGGACCAGAGCCCGTTCTCCGACAACAACAAGAGCGGGTTGTAAATGATGAATTCTATATCGCCGATTCCAAAGGCGCCTACTTTACCCAGCTTCAGCGAACTGGGCACCATCTATGTTAAAATCTGCGAAGATATCCAGCCACCGCGGCACCCACACCATTTCCTTTCCACTTCTCTTCTCAGGATCTAGGCATTACGACGGCCGAGATCTGGCATCTCGGATGCATTAGTCACACTTTCCGTGTTTTTTCGTTCATTGATATCCAAGCATCTTTTATTCTGTCATGATCTGATTCTGATCTTTTCAACTTAACGTCTAGCTCTGACGGACGTGGTGCGATGACCACCGCACGGTTTTATATTCCTGTATGTATGTATTCGAGCGCTGAGCGAGCGAGCGAGTTAGCGCCTGAGGCTGAGTGATATGGCTGGGCTGGGATGAGAGGGGAGATAGGTGCGAATGAAGAATTGATACCACATTATCATCATTAAATTTGGACATATGCTTGAGTGACGTGAGTGCAGACAGTTGCCATGGAGCTTGGACTCCTCTGGTTTCAACGTGTTCTCGATATAGCACTGGCATGTATCGAGTGCACAGACAGCCGCGTTGTAGCCGCATTGTGAGACGAATCGACTCAGAGGATTGGTGCGCGTGTTCAACGCGAATCTCTTCTCATGTACACTGTCGCACCTTGTGCTGACCAACCACTGGGGCATGGAAGCACACTGAATGCAGGTTCCCGCTGTACCTCGAAGACAGAACAGTGACACCGATGTCCTGGACTCGAGATTAACAAAAAGTCAAGATGTAATTACCTTGACTTCCAACTCATTCCTCTTCTCCGTCCCCATCCATGGTCATGCCCACCTCCCACCTATCCACCCATCCAACTCCTCAACTCCCCCGATACGTCGTATATCCAAACGGCCCCAACAGCACCGGCACATGGTAATGCTCACCCTTCGCCTCCTGCCTCACAAGAAACTTGACCTCCACCTCCGGGAAGAACGTCTTCACCCCCCTCTCCCCAAAGTACGCCTCGGTATCAAACGTCAAACTGTACTTTTGGTCTCCCTCTTGCGAAAACACTTCTTCCAGACTCGCGGAGGAGAAGGGCGTGGACGGTGACCAGGCAGTTACGCGGCCGTCGGCGTTGGTGAGGCCGGTGAATTTGGGGGTGGAGGCGGTGCTCGTGGTAGTTGTGGGGTGGAGGGTGAGGGTTACGGGGATGTTGGGGCCGGGGCGCCCGAGGGTTGTGTCGAGGACGTGGCAGGTTATTGGGGGTTTCTTCTCCGGGGTGGACATATTTGCGGTAGGAGTTGTGGGTGGGGAGAGGTGGTTTGTGAGGGCGGTGATGCGGTGCGTGGTGGACATGCGGTTGTAAAGATGTGCGGATTAGCGCGTAGTGTTTGTGAGGTAAGGTCGTTCGGTCAGCGATGTGTAGATCTGTGAAGGTCAAACAGAAAGAGTGTTTGTGAGTGCAGATATGATAATTGCGCGAAGAGAGAATTGCGGTACGTTCCTGCTGTTGTACGCGGTAGCTACCCCTCCAGCCCACTTCGGAGCTCTCCGATGCTGTACTACGCGCCGAGTGCCGCGTACCTAATCTCGACGACGTCCCGGAGCGAATATGTTATCGTGACTTTGATGATGTGAAAACTCCCCTTTCGTGGCACATATGCAATTCGCCTTGGTCGAACAAAAGACTTCCAAGGTTGTCCTGCCCTTGGTCACTTGGGATACATACCTACTTCTTCCTCTGCCCTTGTGCACACTGTCGGACATTTGTTACCATATAGCCATCGCACCCTCTTCCTGATATGCGAGTTCAGGCGGATGGTGTTACGGTCTCTGATCCATTTCGTTGCCATATTCCCGTGTAAGTCGTAGCGGAGGCTCACATTTTACAGAGCCAATACAGCACCCGCGTAGAAGTGCCTGGGTAGGGGAACATTAGGATAATTTGCAAATGGTGATGTTCGAAAAGATAGACTCTGGGCGTCTTATCTAAGTAGTCATTGTGTATTGATCCCTCGTTATTATCTGTTTATGAAAAGAGGAAAATATTGTATATTGTATGCCATGCCATGCCTTAAGATGCTGCACATCTCATCCGTCGTTCTCCGACTACTGAGCTGAAGCAAGAAGTGTTTGGCTTTTGCTTCATCTGTTTCCAAAATACCTCTCTATTTGCTTGTATCCAGTCGGTAGAAAAGAAGTACCCGTCCACATGGAGTATTCTGAGCCGTCATGTACGTGCAAGTTGATTTGCCTTCGATCAAATTTACTTATCCCTCCATGTCGTTTCAACTTCACACGGAGCTATCAGAGTATTCAAATCTATTTGACAAGATTCTAAGCTATGTGATTTCATGTGTGGTTGGAAGTAAAAGCATGTTCTGGTGTAGATGGAGTTGGATCCGATTGGTGTTGTAGTAGCGACCAAAAGCATCACCAATAGTGTGAGTTTCAAATGGAAGTTAGATAAAATACCTGTCTGATGAGAAGAAGCAGAAGTGTGACCCTCAATTTGCAAGTCTGGCGAGACTAGATGGCTCTACAGCAGTGTTGTACGCCAGTGGAGATCAAAGGTCAATAACTACGTCACAATTAAGCTTTGTTCTACACCTGCTGCACGCTCATGCGCTACGTGCGGATAGTTGGTCTCGCATGAGCCAGACCCATGCGACCAAGCAGCAAGAAGCAAGAAGGTACGGGGAAGCGGAATAGCCGTCATCCCTAACGTTCGTGATACGTCGTTAGGGTGTGGAGGCTGGCATCGCCCTGCCACACGCCCACTTGTTGATTACAGAATGCCAAACATCCGACTCTTTGATTCTGCGCTTGTTGCATTAAACAACATGGACATCACGATCTCGATGAGCATCGGGAAAAAGAAGGCGATGAAACTTTGGCATGGTGTGATTGGGACAGCGGTCGCAAAGTCCGCGCGAGGGCTGGTACTTTGAGCCGATGCGAGTTGACGATGCAGATCGGCGAAACATGCGTGAATCGAGGTCTGGAACGGGACCGGCACCTGGCAGAATCAGATCCGCTGGCCGTTGCAGAGTGTCGGAACCAGTGGCTTTGAGGTTCCTTCCCTGCGGGTGCAGAGGCAGGGATGGGGGTGGTAGGAGCTGTCGATGCGGTCATCGTGAACGATGCATTATCAACCTCCTCAGTGTGTCTTATCGCAGTGTGCTGGACGAGAGGAAAATGCGGTGGGCGGGAATAGTCCTTCAGTGAATGGAAGGCTGGGGTGCTTCGACGGGACCAGTACCGGAAGGCGTCTCGTGGCAGACGAGCCAAAAGGGGCTGCGGATCGGCGGACCAGTGAAGGCGGTGGGGCCTCGGCTGCAGTGATTGGCCTTCAGATAGGACTAGCGGCCGGGTTTGATTACGAACCCAAGAAATCACGTTATGCGCTTGGCAAAGCTGCGTCACTCCCAGAAATTGCTCGCTCGTCCTGTCCTCTGACCTCATCGCCGAACGCCTCACTGTCATCGTCACCACGAGCACAATCCCCGTCAACGCCGGTTTGAGCCTCATTGAGATCAGGAACATCCATCACGCGCAACCACAGCCCCGATTGCCTAGAGTCGTGCAGAGTCGGCGCGAGTGTACGTCTAGAGACTGCGACGGCTGCGAGCGTCACCACAGGGGCTTGACGTCACTATTGGATTTGACAAGCAGACACCAGCTTTGCGACCACAGAGCCGGCGGTCAACAATATCGATATTCATCGGATCGAGACGGCTCGACCCCGCATCTGCCGCGCTCGATTCCTTTTGCTGAGGTACGTAGTCGTGTCGCCCTGCCCTGCCGCTGCCGCCGCTGTTGTTATCTGCGCTGCCGACTTTGCCACGTTCCCAGCGTCTGCGACAGCCCTTTGCGCCCGTCGTCTGTCTGCACCCAGCCCGTCGCACTGTGCCTGCACCTGTAATTCCGTGCGCTGACAGCTCCGCCGAACAGCACAGGTGCTATTCTGCTCGAGTCGCCTGTGTGCGCCCATCCGCCGTCGAGAGAAGCCGAATCGCGTGGGTGTGAGCGAGCGAGCGAAGAGAGGTCAAGGCCCGGTACCACAAACGATCGACCAGGACACCACCCCTACGTCACCACCCCAAAGTATGGCAGCCGCAACCCAAACCGCTCGAACCTCCTCCCCGTCCTCCAAGATGTCCTCTCCCAAGGACAGCAAAACATCTCTTCCTACCGTCACCAAGACTGAAGGTGTGTATGCCCCCGTCGCTGCTGCAAAGTGAAGCCCTCACCGCTGCTGCTTCCCACGTCGCCCCTTTCCCTGCCTGCGTTGCGCGCGCATGCATCGTCGTCATCCTCGCCGTCACATCATCGCACATGCAAGCATTACTAACACCGTGATCAGCTGAGCCAGTAAAGGCCGAGTCTTCGCCCAAGGTACAGCGTAAGTAGTCCCGTCCCAACATCACCGTCGACTGTCAACTGTCGCTTTGCACCTCATCTTTCACCAGCACACGATGCTAACCCACCGCCAGCTGCGACCACGGAAGCGGCCACCAACGCAGACACTGCCAAACCCGCAACCACCAATGCCCAGCCGTTGGCGCCTCCACCAAAGCCCGCGCCCTCGACCACTGGCGATACTCCCGACTACTTCAACACCGTCCACAATCCCTTCTCGCTCGAGCCAAACGTCTTCGAGCAGTCCTTTGGCGGCGAGTCTGGCAACCTACAGACACCCGGCGGCCGACCTATTCTTCCGCCCGTTGCGAACATTACGTCACCATCACCCCTACCGGGCATCACACCGGGGTGGCAGGGCTTACGCGCAGGACCCTTGAGCCCTGCTATGCTGAGCGGGCCGACTGGACAGACAGATTATTTTAGCGAGTCATTCCGAGGCTTCCCAACCCCGAACGAATCCTCTCTCCGCACCGGCCTTACTCCTGGCGGCGGTGGTTCCATGTTTCCAGCTCCTAGCCCGAACACCCAAGCCATCTTCAATCTCCAAAGTGCTGGCGTGACACCTGGTACTGCCGACTTCCAGCAGTCTGCTCTGCGCGCCGCTGCTCAACACCAAGCTAACAACAACAAAGCCAACTCCAACGCGCCCACGTCGCAGCCCGAAGCCGCGACCGCAGGAATGGACCGCCCTAACAACAACTACCAGCAGGCGCAGCAGCCACAACAGCGCGCCCAGAACGAACCATATCCAAACCATGACGTCAGCAGTGCCGCTAACGACCTACTGTCCTTTGCCAGCCAAAACGGCGCTGCACGCAACAACCAGCCACCCTACTCGATGGCCCCCCAACAGCAATCGATGAACGCCGGGCACATGCCCGTCCAGCCCGTCAATGCCAACCATGGCCGTCGTGACACCAAGGGTTCCATCAACAGCGTTCAATCTGCAGAGACCGGTGACTTCTCAGAGAGCGGCCAGAGTGAGCAAAACAAGACTGGTACACGGTCACGTGCGAAGAAGGGCGCCGCTAATGGCAAACAAGCTGCCGGAAACAAGCGCAAAGCTGAAGACGGCCCCAAGAACTCAAGAAAGAAGAGCAACGCCAACCAGCCCATGGGCGACGACATGGACGACGGCGACTCTGATGACGAGAACAACATCAAGGAGGAAGAGTACGACAGCAAGGGCCGCAAGATGACCGACGAAGAGAAGCGCAAGAACTTCCTCGAGCGCAATAGGTATGTCTGTTCTCTCCATTCCTACTTCAAGCTACTAACGTGTATCAGGGTCGCTGCTCTCAAGTGCCGACAGCGCAAGAAGCAATGGTTGGCCAACCTCCAAGCTAAAGTCGAACTCTTTAGTACAGAGAACGACGCGCTGTCTGCTACCGTCACTCAGCTCCGTGAAGAGATTGTTAACCTCAAGACTCTTCTTCTAGCTCACAAGGACTGCCCCGTGTCGCAGGCTCAGGGCCTCCATGGCGCCGCCATGAACAACTTCCTCGGCAGCGATATTAGCCATCAAAACCCATATGGCATCGCGCAGATGCAACCCAACGGCGTACACATGATGCCGATGCAGCAAGGCCAGATGATGAACCGGTTCGTATACCAACCCCAAAGGAAGTCTAGCCCCGACGATCAAGAGAACGGGCGGTATCCTTCAAAATACTGAGACAGTCACTCACGTGTGTCAGGTAACTGGGAGTAAACAAGCTGCCTGACCATGTTACACGTGTACACCGCCATTGTCATGACTCTGCATCATGGCAATGACGCAAAGCGTGGGGCATGCGCAGCTCCGACGATCACGATGCTCTGCCCGTACGACCTTGTAATCTACCCAACCTTCTCCTTCCTCTCCTTCTCCTTGACGCATCGTCGTCGCTCTCACAACGCATGGACGGCGCTTGGCGTTACGTCATTATTGCATCCTCACGCCCAGAGGATTGCAACTCGGGTTACCAAAACTAAATTTCGACTTTTCCTACTCGGGCTGGGTGGATGGAACGGCAGGGAATCATGGGGCTGGCTACGCACCTCATGCACGCGAACACGATTCTTCCTCGTCGGCGATGACGACTTTCTTCATCCATTTCCTTCAGTAACCTGTCCGCCGTTTGTGTGTATATACGGTGTGTGCGAGGGTACCATTTCACTGGCGTTACAACGGCGATTATACACCGGGTCGTTTCCTCCGTTCTTTGATTTTATTGTAGCGCGCCAGTCTAGAGTTGCGCTCGGCGTTCGGGATGCTTGGCTTCGAGCCTTCCTTTCCTTTCCGGTGGTGTATTCTGGACGCAGGAGCTTTGTCCCAACGTTTGTTTCTCGAGTCTACGATAACAACAGGGATTATGGCGTAGAGAAAGGAAATGGGAATACCTGTCGGCATGCGTGTCGGTGTATAAGCATGGCTCGACGAAGTGGAATCTGTATGTATACCACAAGCAATTTAAGAGTTCAATTTCAATGTTTTCATTCGCTGCTTCATTGGGACCAAGCCTGGTTTCCCATATGGTGAGGTCATCTACAGTCTGGCGTTTGTCATGACGTCCTCCCCTCACTCGTCTCGGTGTACGTCTCGGTGTACAAGTCGCTCATACTCCTTCCTGTGCCTCTTGGCCATCTCCTCCATCTCCTCTCTGTGCCTCATCAATATCATCATCGTCTCGAATGATCTGTCCGCCCGCGCCTCAACCGCTTCCTCCCGCCTTACCAACGCCAACTGCCGATTAATAATCACTTGCTCGCGTCGAGACAAGGACGCTTCGCGGCGATCGAGCTGCCTGCTGCGAACAGCTTCGCGCGCAGAATCTGACTGAATAGCAGGGAGTTCGATAGGCTCATCTGCGGTAAGGTCTACCGGCGTGTCTGAGGTGTTTGGGCTTGGGGTCTGTCTGTATGGTGTTGGGGCTCGACCTCGACGGTCGCTCGTGTGATTAGCAGTCCGCGAGGCGGGTTGCTCGAACGTTCTTGCACGGCGTAGCTCGCTTCCTAGACGTCGTTCCTGTGGCTCGCTGCGCTGTTCCAACACCTCGTTCATGGGAGCAGGAGACGCGCCAGCGCCAGCGCTAGCGGTGTACTCAGAAGGCTGAAAAGGGTTCCTCGCGTTACCCAGAAGACGGTTCAACGCGCGTGACCTGGCGGTACCAGTCCCACCATTCGCAGCAGCGTTCTCACTGTTACCATTCGAATCGGCACGACCGCTTCCCTCATTCCTGGCGTTGACACGCTCCCTCTCAGCAGCAGTAGCGGCCCGTCTCTTCCTGATACTCCTCAGCCCGCGCGTGTCTCTTGCTCGGCTCCGTATATCATCGATCTCACGTCTGTAGTTGTTGAAGTTCTGGAACTGGACGTTGTAGTCTGCGTTGTCGTCGGAATCGGAGTCGATGACGATGGGGTTGAGCTGCTGGTTCTGCACTGGAGCAGCCTCGGGCTCCTCGCGCCAGGGTGGGAATGGGCTGTTGTGGGGTGGTGGCGTGGAGGGCGTGTATGTTGGGGATGTCGGGAATGTGGGGGTTGTGGGTGAGTATGCCGGTGAGGTGGGTGAAAACGCCGGGGATGCTGGGAACGTGGGAGACGTGGGTGGATATACCGGTGATGTAGGTGCAAACGTTGGGGATGTCGGGGATGCAGGGAATGTAAGGGATGTGGGTGTGTATCCTGGTGATGTGGGTGCAAAGTCCGGCGATGAAGGTGTATCGACTGGTAGAGGTGAGATGGCGCCAGCGCCAACTACCTGGTTACCAGCGATGTCCGCACCGATACCGTCAAGGCCTGCGAACATGTTTGCCATGCGCCGTGAGGTACCCAGACTCTGGTTGCGAGGAGGGAAAGGCAGAGTGTGCGCGGGGATCCAGACGGCGCGGCACAGGGGACACTTCTTCTCTTCGTTGGGGTTGCTGCGCAGCATGCGGTCAAGGCAGCTGGCGCCGATGTGGTGGTTGCAACGCGGGATGCCGGTGATGCGGAGACACTCTTCGGTCTTGTAGTTGTCAAGGCAGATTGAGCATTCTTCATGGTCGGAGAGGGTGTCGTCTGGGGTTGTGTGGTCGCGGATGAAGAAGGCGGCGCTCATCGTGGAGTTTTGGTTTTGGTTCCGGGTATGTGACTTGCGCAATGTGTGTAGGTAGTAGAGAGTAAGGAGTAAAGAGTAGGAAGTAGAGTTAGAGTTATCAGAAAAGACTTTGGCTGTAACAAAGCTTGGCGCTATTGAGAGCGAGAGACAATAGTAAGTGAGCGAGGAGAAAACGTCATTGTTGGCGGAAAAATCATGTAGTGAAGGTGAGTTGTGTGGACGCTTTGACTGGCCGATGAAAAGTTTGTATACTATTGTCTATTGTACCTTGGTTGAATATGGAGACAAGCTCACAAATCCTCGTCATTGCTAGCAAAATACAGTAGGGAAGCAATCAAAAATTACGCAATAAAGTCTTTTTGAAACTTGCGCAAATTGGCATGAAGTGTGCGAGCTTCCTTCGCGTCACTGCTGTCAGTTGGTAATCATGACGCGTTACTGCTTACATTGTATTATAATTTGGGGAGTGATCAGTACAGAAGCTATTGTATGCATGTACGTAGAATACAGAACACAGCCTCCGCAGATCAAGAATCTACGCAGGCAGTAAGTAGAGTATTTCTCCGACGACTCTCCGTTCTCCCATTTGTCGTGCGACGCCACTAAATGTAGTTTCATCACGTTCTAGACTGCCACAGTTACGATCTTTGTTTAATCGCAAGATAGCTGCGCTATGCAGTCTTCCGCACAGCTTGTGAAGCCGCCCTTTAGTTCAGTCTCGTCGGCGGCCAGTAGCCAGCATTTCTCCGTGGATCAAGGGATATAAAAGGCCCAGCATCTACCGCCACTTCTCGTTGATTCGTTACGCTAGTAGGACTCGTATGAGGTTGCGGCTGACCAATTGGTATTTGTGGAGGCGTTGGTGTGGGAGCGGTAGCTGGCTGCGTCGACCCAGGACTTAAGCTTTCACAATAGTTTTCCAAGGCTCTGGCCATTCGCCCAAAGGCTTCGGTATGATCAATTCCCTGAAATCTACGATGGGGCCGGTTTATCAGCTCGTATGACCGTGTCCACACGTCGTCTCTCGATGCGATAGGCTCGTCTCTTTCTGCACGTGTGACAGGCATGCCGGGGTTTGAGGATTTTCGATTTTCGCGAACGATGGGCGAGTCATCGTTTGACGGACTAATGTGCTGTAAGTACGCGTTATATTGACGAGCGCTTATGGGGTCTTCGGATGGTGGTGATGCAGGTGGCTGGTGAGCATCGTCCCTAGTGTCAGCAGACGCGTTGGCGGCTTCCGGGCTCTCATCTGACGTAGGAACCGTACGTGAAGATGTCACCCTGGTACCTGCGCTGCTCGCCATAGAGTACTGGGCATCGGAAAGTCCGGGTCCAATTCTTCTTCCCAAGTCCAATCGTCTGAGGCTGTCAAGTTCCCTCGTGACTCTGTCTTGCCGCCTGATCTCACTCTCACGTTGCTGTAACTCTCTTTCCCGGCGTCTTAACAATGCTTCACGCTCATTCAATGACGTCTGCGGACCTCTAATGTTCTCATATGCAGACTGAAGTTCTTGGTGAAGTCTCCGGGCGCGGCGCTCAATCGCTTGGAGACGCACGCGCGTATCTGCCGTGGAAGTGTGCTGCTCGCTACTGATGTCCTGAATCATGTCCAGTCTTCGAAGGATCTCATCCAAATGGCTACTGATGACTCCGTTGTTCGAAGCCCGTTCCTGCTCCAAGATGTTTCGCGTTCGATGAGCTCTCGCTCGTGATTCGACTAGCGCCGGCTCTTGTGGTATGGTCAAAGCTAGCATGCTCTCTGTGAGATTGACGTCTCGTGGCGCCGTCCACGCAGGTGGTCGTTTGTACCATTCCCGTCGACATTGGGGACAACTGTTGTTGCGTGGGCTTTCGCTGTCGAGGTAGTCTCCGAGACATTTGCGGCCAAAGCGATGGTAGCAACCTGTTATGAGCACAGTGACGGCTTCATGGGAAGGACCGTATAGACTCAAGCATATGCAGCATGTTTCATCCTGGGACGCAGTTGGAAGGGCTGCTATATGCGATGTCCTCAGCTCTCGTAGGCTGGATACTGAATGGTCCGGGTTACTGTGTACTGTCAGTGACCTACTGGACTCTCAAAGAAGACAAGCACGAACTTTGCAAGGGATGATGTGAAGTTGGATGGCATATTTGTGGTGTTCAACCCTGGCCAGTGTTTCAATAGGTGTGAGAAGAGGAGTGTTGTCTTACGATCGGTGTGCGCACAGAAGACGATCGCTTGACTGGGTGGCTCTGCATGACTACCGGACTCTGCATCATGAGTACCGTGGATGAAAGGTCAATTACATTATGTTGCTGTGCAACTCCCGATATTGGTTGTTGTGGGTATGCGGTGCGTAGAAGGCGTGGTATTCACGAACCATGGGATTGCTGTCCCTCGATTCGTCCTTATCTCAACAGAACGCGAAGGCATAATGTAAAGTCGAGGTTGCGCAAGACGACACAAGACCAAAGGCTCTTTCTTACGTCGCTCAAGCCCCTGGTGGTAGTATCTCATCAGCTGGCTGCGTACAGCGACAACACAGCTGCAAACATCACGAATATGAGACTGGTCACCAGTAGTGGAAGGGTGAGGGTGGATGCCTACGGGTTCCTGGCTCAATGCGTCCCTGAACCAAAAGTGCTATACCAAAGTTAGGCATACTGCGGGCCTACAAAGTATGGCTGCACTCTGACCCCTGCACCGAGCTCCGGGTCAAAATTTGGTCTTGAATAGGCTGCGATGTGCATTTCTAGGCACAACGGGTAACCGGATAACGATGCATTTAATCTCCTCCTTTCCGAATACCAACGCCGCGTTCGGGTCTCTAGTAGAATCCTTTGACATCAAACATTGAAGTACGTTTGGCAAATGAACCGTCGCGCGGCATGTGACGGTATCGGCGAGGTTGACGCATCTCCCACCACTCGGTGTCCTCTCTAGTTGCGGCTTTGTTTCGATGACGACCGTTTTTCTCGTGATTTTGACGAAGGAGATGGAAGATGTTCAGCTTCAAATGTCTTGAAGGTAAGGATGAAGAAGAGTCGCGGGAGATTCTTGGGTGCTTTGACCCCGCTAAAGCACGCACCTGTGCCACTGCCCAAGCTGAGCCACTATTTACAATAACTTGGGTGTCCATGGTTTGAGTAAGTGCGCTTTGGATGACGATGGAAAGTGCGCAATCAGCATCAAGTCGAAGGTGCATGCCAGCGAGAAACGGTCGTACGTCGTAAGCTGCAGAGTTGCGTAGAGCGGAGGCGCATGGCGCTGATTGGTGGAATCGCTCGCGAGTGCCCAGGGCTGTCACATTGTCCCACACCTCAGCAATTATACACCCCAACCATCCCCTCTCCTAAAGGATGCAGTGCTTCTCCGAAATCCGGGGTTTTCAAAGCCGTCGCACTGCCGATGCGCGCTGCATGCACGCCACCATGTACTCCAGTATGTACCCCATATTAACGTCTCTTGGACACTCCACCAGTCAGCGTAGCTATCACGCGCCTTGCAAGTAAGGAGCTTGGCTTGTATGGCGTGGTGCACTGCCCGAGTGAACATGGAACAATTTTTTCACTCTACAATCGATCGATCTTTCCGAAGCCCTTGATTTCTTCTGATTAACGCATGAAACTCCTGGTCTTGGATCTCACATCTGTTTACTGATCAGTATCCACAAGGTGGAGGACATCATCCTTCAGTACCCATCAGAATCCTGCGCCTTTGTTAAATAATCTCCGCGTTCTACTACCGCGTCATGGTCTTTCCCATACGGTCGCATTCGTGTAAGGTGGGCTTCGGAGAAAGTCTTTCTCATCATGCCGATCCTAAGCGACGCCGTCACTTCTGCGACAATGAACAGCGTGATTTCTGATTTGTTGAGAGCCGGGTTCCTTCGCAGTGTCTCCATGAACGACACTTCGAGTTGTCTTATGCATACCAAGACACCGTTCCTGACGGTGTTTCCTAGTTTGCCGGGGCCCGTCGCAAGCGGTATTCCCATCGCTAGTCCAGTTCTCTAGGCGGTATCCGTGCGGTGTCTCCAGGGAGAAAGAGTCAAAGCCAGCAGTTGGCTGTGATCAGTTGGCTGTGGATGAAGTAAGATTCGGAAGGCTGGCATGCTTCTAACGATGGTCTATTGATATCGGTGACCGGGACAGCTTCAGAGTGCACAGCTTTCCGATACTCTCTGTCATACCGTCAGGACCGTCGTGTGGTATTTCCGCTATCGATACTACCTCAATGGTCTAAGAGCGGACGTATAGAACAGAACCGGCGAAATCCTAGTTGGCGGAAGTAAGGACGGAAGAGGAAATGAGAGGTGGGTTGCAGCGCTAAGCATTGCGCTATGGCATGTCACTGTCGCCCCAAAGATGCAAGCGCCAACGCACGGCGGAGTTTGCTGGGCGTTTCACTTGTGCAATCAGCATACCAAAACCACGTGGTACTATCCGATATGCGCTTTCAAAGCGCGTTCTTCTACACCAAGCATTCATAACAAGTCTTGGCAATGGCGCGACTCGGACGGAAAGACGTTCGGCAGGATCGATGTTGAAGTGCGCGAATGAGCGTGGGAAGATTAAGGAGGAAAGTCCTAATGTGGTAAGATGACTTGAGCTGAGGGTGCGAGGTTAGCAGTGCAGAAGGCATGGCAAAGGTGCCTGAGCGTGCTATGGATAGAGGGGAGAGAAGGGCTTCAGTTCCCTATAAGTAACAGCGAACATCCCACCGGTTAAGGTTCTATCTTTCAGCTAGAATCATCTCGATATCCAAGGCTCCAGTAGCATTCCTTCTACCATTTCTTCTGTTCCAGCTTCCGCTTTCGATCACTATTTTCCCAATCCGAACACAATCTTTTACCATGAAGTTTGCAGGCATCTTCGCTGCCGCCACGGCCCTCCTTCCTGCTGCCCTTGCATGCAATGGATACACTGGAGGTGTTCCTAAAGCCGTTGGTACCAAGACCAACAGTAAGGTCATCGAGGTCGCTGCCGGTCAGACCTATGATGGCCAGTGGTAC